TAGCTCAGGAGCATTCAATGTCGTCTTGATAAGCAACCCCAGTGTATATTTGTCCTTGTGTTTTAGGTTATTGTCCTGCTGCAATGTAAATTTGTCTCACAGTGTCTGTTGGAAAGCAGACTGAACCAAGTTTTCCTCTAGGATTTTGCCTGTGCTTAGCTCTATTCCTTTTCTTTTATCCTAATGAACTCCCTAGTCTTTGCCGATGACAAACATCCCCCATAGCATGACGCAGCCACCACCATGACTTGAAAATATGAAGAGTGGTACTCAGTGATGTGTTGGTTGTGTTGGATTTTCCCAAAACATACAGGCTTCCTTCTTTTCACTCTGTCATTTAGGTTAGTATTGTGGAGTATCTAACATGTTGTTGATCCATCCTCAGTTTTCTCCTATCACAGCCATTAAACTCTGCAACTGTTTAAAAGTCACCAATCAATCAATCAATCAATTTTATTTTATATAGCCCTTCTTACATCAGCTAATATCTCGAAGTGCTGTACAGAAACCCAGCCTAAAACCCCAAACAGCTAGTAATGCAGGTGTAGAAGCACGGTGGCTAGGAAAAACTCCCTAGAAAGGCAAAACCTAGGAAGAAACCTAGAGAGGAACCAGGCTATGAGGGGTGGCCAGTCCTCTTCTGGCTGTGCCGGGTGGAGATTATAACAGAACCATGCCAAGATGTTCAAAAATGTTCATAAGTGACAAGCATGGTCAAATAATAATCAGGAATAAATCTCAGTTGGCTTTTCATAGCCGATCATTAGAGTTTAAAACAGCAGGTCTGGGACAGGTAGGGGTTCCATAACCGCAGGCAGAACAGTTTTAAACTGGAATAGCAGCAAGGCCAGGCGGACTGGGGATAGCAAGGAGTCACCACGGCCGGTAGTCCCGACGTATGGTCCTAGGGCTCAGGTCTCTCAGTTGGCTTTTCATAGCCGATCATTTAGAGTTGAAAACAGCAGGTCTGGGACAGGTAGGGGTTTCGTAGCCGCAGGCAGAACAGTTGAAACTGGAATAGCAGCAAGGCCAGGCGGACTGGGGGCAGCAGGGTGTCATCATGCCCGGTAGTCCTGACGTATGGTCCTAGGGCTCAGGTTCTCAGAGAGAAAGAGAGAACGAGAGAATTAGAGAGAGCATACTTAAATTCACACAGGACACTGGATAAGACAGGAGAAGTACTCCAGGTATAACCAACTAACCCCAGCCCCCCGACACATAAACTACTGCAGCATAAATACTGGAGGCTGAGACAGGAGCGGTCCGGAGACACTGTGGCCCCATCCGAAGAAACCCCCGGACAGGGCCAAACAGGAAGGATATAACCCCACCCACTCCGCCAAAGCACAGCCCCCGCACCACTAGAGGGATATCCCCAACCACCAACTTACAATCCTGAGACAAGGCCGAGTATAGCCCACAGAGGTCTCCACCACAGCACAAACCAAGGGGGGGGGGGGGTCGCCAACCCAGACAGGAAGATCACGTCAGTAACTCAACCCACTCAATTGACGTACCCCTCCCAGGGACGGCATGAAAGAGCACCAGCAGGCCAGGATTTCACCATGGCCTCATGGTGAAATCCTCACAGGCAATTGAGTTAGGAAGGATGTCTGTATCTTTGGAGTGACTGGGTATACTGTATTGATAGACCATTCAAAGTGTAATTAATAACTTCACCATGCTCAAAGGGATATTCAATGTCAAAGGGATATTCAATGCCTCGCAAATAAGTCCCCTTATTTGAGAGGCATTGGAAAACCTCCCTGGTCTTTCTAGTTGAATCTGTCTTTGAAATTCACTGCTCGACTGAGGGACCTTAAAGATAATTGTACGTGTGGGGTACAGAGATGAGGTACAGAGATGACGTAGTCATTCAAAAATCATGTTAAACACTATTATTGCACACAGAGTGAGTCCCTGCAACTTATTATATGGCTTGTTAAGCACATCTTTACTCCTTAACTTATTTAGGCTTGCCATAACGAAGCGGTTTAATATTTATTGACTCAAGAAATTTCAGCTTTTCATTTTTTATTAATTTGTAAACATTTCTAAAAACATACAGTAATTCCACTACAGACATTATCGGGTATTGTGTGTAGGCCTGTGACACAACATCTAAACTTAATCCATTTTAAATTCAGGCTGTAACACAATAACATGTGGAAAAACTCAAGAAGTGTGATGACTTTCTGAAGGCACTGTATGTAGATATAAGTAGGGATAAAGTGACTAGGCAACAGGATAGATAAAAAACAGTAGCAGCGGCATATGTGAGGAGTCAAAAGAGTTAAGGCAAAAAGGGTCAGTGCAGATAGTCCGGGTAGCTATTGGCAAACTATTTAACTAACTATTTAGCAGTCTTATGGCTTGCAGGTAGAAGCTGTTCAGTGTCCTGTTGGTTCCAGACTTGGTGCATCGGTACTGCTTGCCGTGTTGTAGCAGAGAGAACTTGGAGTTTTGACCATTTTTAGCGCCTTCCTCTGACACTGCCTGGTATACAGGTCCTGGATGGCAGGGAGCTTGGCCCCAGTGATGTACTGGGCCGTAAGCATTATCCTCTGTAGTGGCTTGCAGTCGGATGCCAAGCAGTTGACATACCAAGTGGTGATGCAGCCAGTCAAGATGCTCTCAATGGTGCAGCTGTAGAACTTTTGAGGATCTGAGGGCACATGCCAAATCTTTTCAGCCTCCTGAGGGGGGAGAGCCGTTGTCGTGCCTTCTTCAGGACTGTGTTGATGTGTGTGGACCATTATAATTCCTTATTGATGTGGACACCAAGGAACTTGAAGCTCGGCCATCTGTTTCCTGTAGTCCATGATCAGCTCCTTTGTCTTGCTGACGTTGAGGGAGAGGTTGTTGTCCTGGCACCACACTGCAAGGTTCACTGACCTCCTCCCTATAGGCTGTCTCATCGTCATTGGTGATCAGGCCAACCACCGTTGTGTCGTCAGCAAACTTAATGATGGTGTTGGAGTCGTGCGCGGCCACGCAATTGTGGGTGAACAGGGATACAGAAGGGGCCTAAGCACACACCCCTGAGGGGCCCTCGTGTTGAGGATCAGCGTGGTGGACGTGTTGTTGCCTACCCTCACCACCTGAATTCGGCCTGTCAGGAAGTCCAGGATCCAGTTGCAGAGGGAGGTGTTCAATTCCAGGGTCCTGAGCATAGTGATGAGCTTGGAGGGCACTATGGTGTTGAACACTGAGCTATAGTCAATTAACAGCATTCACACGTACAGTGCTGTGAAAAAGTATTTGCCCCCTTTCTAATTATATCTATTTTTGCATAGTTTTGATGCTGAATTTTAACAGATCTTCACCCAAAACCTAATATTAGATAAAGGGAACCTGCGCTTACATTAAAAAAAATTAAAAAATAAAGAATTTTATTTCAAATCAAATTATATTGGCCACATGCGCCGAATACAACAGGTGTAGACATTACAGTGAAATGCTTACTTACAGCCCTTAACCAACAATGCATTTATTTTTTAATAAAAAAAGTACAATAAAACAACAACAAAAAATAATTGAGAAAAAAAGAGCAGAAGTAAAATAAAATAACAGTATGGAGGCTATATATACAGGGGGGTACCGGTGCAGAGGCAATGTGCGGAGGCACCGGCTAGTTGAGGTAGTTGAGGTAATATGTACATGTGGGTAGAGTTAAAGTGACTATGCATAAATAATTAACAGAGTAGCAGCAGCGTAAAAAGATGGGTTGGGTGTGGGGGGGCAGTGCAAATTGTTTGGGTAGCCATGATTAGCTGTTCAGGAGTCTTATGGCTTGGGGGTAGAAGCTGTTGAGAAGTCTTTTGGACCTAGACTTGGCACTCCGGTACCGCTTGCCATGCGGTAGCAGAGAGAACAGTCTATATTTATTTAATAACAAAGTTCTGCAACACCCAATTCCCCTTTGTGAAAAAGTAATTGCCCCCTTATACTCAATAACTGGTTGTGCCACCTTTAGCTGCAATGAATGCAACCAAATGCTTCCTGTAGTTGTTGATCAATGCAGTGTTTGGTTTTCGCCAGGCATAATGGGACCCATGTCATCCAAAAAGTTATACTTTTGACTAATCTGTCCATAGAACATTCTTCCAAGAGTCTTGATGATCATCCAGGTGCTTCCAGGTGTTTTTTAGCAAACTTGAGTCAGCTTTTTGGATGGGATTGGTCCCATTATGTCTGGCGAAAACCAAACACTGCATTCCACAGTAAGAACCTCATACCAATGGTCAAGCATGGTGGTGGTAGTGTGATGGTTTGGGGATGCTTTGCTGCCTCAGGACCTGGACGACTTGCCTTAATAGAAGGAACCATGAATTCTGCTCTGTATCAGAGAATTCTACAGGAGAATATCAGGCCATCCGTCTGTGAGCTGAAGCTAAAGTGTAGCTGGGTCATGCAGTAAGACAACGATCCAAAACACACAATCAAGTCTACATGAAAATGGCTAAAAAGCAACAAATGTGAAGTTTTGGATTGGCCTAGTCAAAGTCCAGACCTAATCCCAATTGAGATGATGTGGCAGCACTTGAAACGAGCTGTTCATGCTTGAAAACCCACAAATGTCGCTGAGTTAAAGCAGTTATGCATGCAAGAGTGAGCCAAAATTCCTCCACAGTGATGTGAGAGACTGATCAACAACTACAGGAAGCATTTGGTTGCAGTCATTGCAGCTAAAGGTGGCACAACCAGTTATTGAGTGTACAGGGGCAATTACTTTTTCACACAGGATAATTGGGTGTTGCACAACTTTGTTAATTAAATAAATAAAATAGTATCTTTTTTTTTGTTATTTGTAAACTCAGGTTCCCTTTATCTAATATTATTATTTGTGGAACTGTGGAAGTTCCACAAACCTGGTTAAGTTTGGTTCCCTTTTATTAAATGTAGGTGACTAACATCCTGAAATCTTAGTCACAAAAATAGGATGGTGAAGGGACAGATGCAGTATAAGGACACTGCGTAGGCTGAAAAGTACTGATGTTATGGAGAAGATTTATGCTAATGTTAGAGCGGACACCGTGAAGGTTTATCATGACCCCAACATTGAGACCAAGAGCGTCACCCCCAGGGGTGTGCCAGGAAGGCAACCATTCGGTAAGATAAATATACAACACCCACCCTTCAAAAACTGGTTTAGTGTGTGGAAAGCTGTACCAGAGTAAACTGTAAGTTATATCTGTCATCCTCAGCAAAGAGTCATCTCAGAGCTGTTGCAGTGTGTCTGGGGCTACTGTGTGTTCTTCTACTGGCTGGGATCATAGGATTTGGTGTCCACTGTGAGTTTACCCAGTTTTATAACATTGATAGTCTGGTTGTTTCAGTGTGAGCGTTTTTGTCATTTACATTTTTTTTTTTTTGCAGACAACAGAGTGGCAGGTGACTTTGAGGAGGAGCAAACTCAGCTACAGATAGAGAGAGACCAGCTAGAGGGAGAGAGAGATGACCTTCAAAATAAATGATATTTTCTGGGTAAGTTAGTTATTCTTATCTGGCCACAGACTTTTGACTAGTTGGAATTCGATCATACACACAATAATAATCTTGATGTTTTGTAATTATTATTGTAATTAGTGTTACTGGGTCCGTGGGTTTATGAGTATAAAGCAGCTTGCTACATTTCACATGTTCTCCTTTGCTCTTCAACAGAGCAACATTTTCAACTGGGATGGAGTCATTTTGGATCCAGTTTGTACCTCTTCTCCAATGTGACTAGAACTTGGGAGCAGAGCAGACAGCACTGTCTAAGGAGAGGAGCAGACCTGGTAACCATAAACAGCAGGGAGGAACAGGTGAGAGAGAGATAGAGACTTTTTCCACATTTTGTTGTGTTAAATGGCCGGAAGCTCTATGCAGCATCCTCGAGCATTTGACATTTTACACTTTTTAAGGAATTTTGACACGGATTACCTTTTCGTTAAAAGTGAGCTGAAAGTTAATACGTCTCTTTTATCGCCAAAACAAAAGATGCCCAATCTTGCAAAGCCTCAGACGAGGCATGGAAAAGTGACCCCCTCTGACAGCCCTTCTTCGGCCTCGATGGATGCTGGCTTGGAAGAAGCACCAGCATGGTTCAGAATGGAGATGGACAAGGGTATAACAAAAATTTAAGAGACACTTTCTGAACACCTCATCAAAATTTATGTGCTGGTTGATAAACTCCATGAAGACCAGAAAGTCACAAAAGGACGAGTGAAGTTAGAAAAAGACCACACTGACCACCAGGCTGACATCCTGGTTGCCCGAGAGCAGCATGGGCATTTGTCATTAAATTGCTACAGTACCAGGACACTGTCTGCATCTTCGCTGCTGCCTGAGCAAAGGGAGAGCTCAAGTATGGAGATGCGAGAATCATGATATTTCCGGATCTTTCTCCCATACTACACAAGAGGAGGATGGCTTTCTCACCACTCAAGAGGCTTCTGCGGCAGGCTGGCTTGGCATACGGCATGCGCTACCCGGCGACTTTGTGGATCGAAACCAAGAATGGTGAGCGCACATTTGTCTCTGTGAAGACGGCTGAAGTATACATGAAGAAAGAACTGCCTGACTTTTTCACTCCAACTACGTCATGAGGAACTGACTTTTGAACTTGGATACAGTGGATAGAGAACTGTTAGAACATGAGGATACAACCAAATGACTCAGATTTGATCGACTGGCCGGCATGGCTAGCTGGCAAGACGGCTAGCTTGACAATGACTGGCGAGGTAACGTTGGAACATAGCTAATGTTGGCTGCACTATCAAGCCAGCTAGTTAAGTTTACATGACATGGGTGTGACTATAGGTACACAGCATAGCCACACTACGGCAGGTAATGACATTTTTTTGTGTGCTTTTATTTTGCGCATGGAGGTCAAGTCGGGTTTGGTTAAATAGTTATGTGGCTAGGGTGACCATATTTTGTTTAGACAGTGGGAGCGGGAGGCAGACAGACACCCGCAGTGGGTGGTAAATACAAATGCGTTCGCAACCATGCAACTATGTTATTGAACTTTAATACATAAAGTAATACATCCTTTCCATTCAACTGTTGGCCCTCAACAATATAATAATAACAAACAAACAAAAGCTTTTAACACCTTTTACATGACACTGTTTCTTTTCATGGCCATAGGTTAAAATTAAATTTAAAAAACAGTTGTCATAAAAAAATCCACTATTTCAGTCAAAAATAATGTCAGTCCTAATGCTCTCTGGTATACTTTCCCGAAGATCAAATCTTTCCCAACAGTCCTTGGTTACCAATCAAGTAGGCATGAAAGTCTTTGCAAGACATGTTTCTAAAGTTGTATTGTGTACACAGAAGCCCCTTCAGTGACTCAACAGACAAGTGATTCCTTTGTCCACTGGCTTTGCATCAGTGAAAAAACTCTCTCTACATTTGCATTGTAAGAAGCAAAAGCGAAGAAAAACTGTGCAATCTTCAGTAGCTCTGAATGAAAATCTATGCTTTTGGACCTTTCAAAATATTTGGTCCACTTCTTGTGTGCTTGCAGATTACTGAACTCTCCATCACTGTTACACCTTTCTGTGAATTTCTTCTGGTTGGTGACCTGATCAAAGCACCTTGCATCATCAATTGGAACCCCCTTTTCTCGCAGGTGTTTGATACAGGCTTCCAAGTCATTCCAGTCAGGTGTCTCACTCAGATCCATCCACATGAAAGAGGAGAACTCCTCCATGGGTGCCATCCATTTCTCCAGATACTCCAGGCATGAACTGTACAGACCCTGGTCACAATTCTTACCAAGTCCATCCTTGTGCTTTTGTGCCAATAGTCCCTTAACTTTAAGGGACATGAAGTTATTGGTCTTGCGTTCAAGAAGCATGGAGTGGACTTTGTTCTTCACTTCCACAATTGAATTGCTCTCCCTTTCCATCTCCTGAATGTGTGAATGAAACACACACATGAGTGAGTGCATGTGCTAGATGTAAATTTCACTGAACTCATCTTCAAAAAACGTATTGATCAAGGAGGGTGTTTTTTCCTGTGACAAAAATTATGCTTTCAAGGCTGGAAACATCTGTAGCAGCCTCTCAATACCTGGGAATAATGACAGCCATCGCGTCTTGCTGTGAGAAAGGAGGCTTCTGTATTCAACATCAACAAATTCACAGTACTCCTTCAGATTCTCTGTGCGCACAGTGTAGATGTGAAAGTATTGACATATTTTGAAGATTATGTTCTCAATATCGACATCTAGTGTGTCTGCCCCGTAATGAACACAATTGTTCAAGACGTGTGCTGGGCAGCCCACACCGATTAAAGACTTGTTCTGCAATGACTTCTTTAAGTTTGCGAAAACATTATTTCCTTCTTCATCACGCCGGATTCCCCCGAACATTGTATTGCAGTTGTCACCTGTAAATGCAATACATTTTGAAAAAATCCCATTATTTTCCAGTGTTTCTTTGATGTATTGCGCGATCGTATCAGCTGTCTCATTTGGAGTGTTTTTAACTTCGACTAATTTACTTTGCACGCCACCATTCTTTCAATCAAAATACTGAATAAGCAGAGGGAATATTTTCAAAGCACCGTGATTGCTCCCATCAGTAGAAACCTCACAGTAAGGTATGTCTTCTAGTGCTTTCAGAGCTATGTCGACAGAATGTGGTGCTATCACAGCGTTAACAATTGCTTCGGTCCTAGTACGAGCGCTTGAAGATTTTCGCGCAGTCTCGGAATCAGGGAAAGCCTTTTTTAACAAGGCAGACGTGCAGTCCATTGATCTGTAGCTATTGTGATGCTTCGTGGTGTGGAATGCAAAAACTCCCTCCTCAGCAGTAACAGCATCTTCTGTTTTACCTGCTTTCACAAAATAGTCAGTTAATTTACCTGACGAACTCTCTCCTTTAGCTGCAATTTTGTGTTTTGCAGAGCTTATGTGGGCTTCTAGGTCGCTAGCACCTTTATTTGACACTGACACGTATGTGCCAGCTTTGCAGGTCATGCATTCTGCTTCACACGGATTCCCGACCAAAGACGAAAACACGGGAATTTTCTCTGTAAATCGTTTGTGAATTTACATTTGCGTTTGGGCATTTTTACGCTGTTCTGGAGCCATGTGCCACTGTTGACAAGCAAGCTGCTGCTCTGTCTCTTGGCTGTTGCCATGGTGAGGGTAATGATTGAGATGCAGTTTGACCAATGTTTGCGTAGGCCTACATGACCGTCCAATGGTGGCGTGTGAGAAGGCAGGACCTAAAGAGAAAGGTCAAAGCAATGGCAAAACCCCAAAAACGCACACAATGAATGGCGACTGTAGAAAGCAAAAGCCGAATCCCGGACATTTTGGGCGATTTAGAAATCCCAGCCGGACACATTATTTTAGGTCCAAAAAGAGGACATGTCCGGGAAAAAGAGGATGTATGGTCACCCTATATGTGGCTGTAGACTGGGTTTCAAGCTACTGGATTTTAATAATAATATGCCATTTAGTAGACGCTTTTATCCAAAGCGATTTACAGTCATGTGCGCATACATTTTTACGTATGGGTGGTCCCGGGGATCGAACCCACTACCCTGGCGTTACAAGCGCCATGCTCTACCAATTGAGCTACAGAGGACCAGTTTATATTACTTCAGGGAATTTTACTAACATTTGCTGACTTTATGCTAGTGTTCGTGATACCGAGGCAGGGATAAGCTACACACTAGCTGGCACTAAAATGCTTGACTGGTTGCATAATTGCCAGCTAGCTGATAGCTTACAATTGTTTTATTTATGGTTGGGAGGGTGAAATCAGGATGATGGTGACTGTTTAACCAATTGTCCCTATCCCTATTTCAGGGTTGATAGTCATCGTCTGGTAAAGGTTTACACTTATTTCTTACCCCTTTTTTCTCCCCAATTGGTAGTTACAGTCTTGTCCCATCACTGCAACTCCCCTACGGACTCGGGAGAGGCGAAGGTCGAGAGTCATGCATCCTCCGAAACATGACCCTGCCAAGCTACACTGCTTCTTGACACACTGCTCACTTAACCCGGAAGCCAGCCGCACCAATGTGTCGGAGGAAACACAGTCCAACTTGCGACCAAGTCAGCTTGCAGGCACCCAGCCCGCCACAAGGAGTCGCTAGAGCATGAATGGGACAAGGAAATCACAGCCATCCAAACCCTCCCCTAACCCGGACACGTTGGGCCAATTGCGCGCCGCCTCATGGGTCTCCTGGTCACAGCCGGCTGTGACACAGCCTGGGATCGAACCCGGGGATGTAGTGACGCCTCAAGCACTGCAATGCAGTGCCTTAGACCGCTGCGCCACTCGGGAGGCAGGTTTCCACTTATTAATCATAGCTTGATGTCTTTTTTCGTGGGCTGCTTAGGTGCGTTTGTGGTCATCGCTTTTACTGCTGCGTGTCACAGGTTTCAGGGCGCCTTGGGGAATGCCGATTGGTTGACATTTGAGTGTACTGGTAGGTGCAGCGCGGCTGCGGAGGGTGACCATGAACGCATCTTCTGTGGGGGTTTTTTCCTTCTTTTTTTTGTTGAGACATGCTAAAGTGGGGCTAAATAGTCCAGACTTTTTGGTTGCTGATGTTTGTCGCTTTGAATCACATTTTATTTTGTGACTCGACTGACAACATTTTCATGTTACAGGGAAAAGTTAATGCACTTTTATGCACTATATGTATAAGTTAGAATGAACTTAATTCAGGTGATGCTATGCACAGCAGGTACATCTAGCTTAAAGACTAGCGTCTGTGGGTATGGGGTTTTTAACTAACCCCAAACCTCAGTTGGGGAGGGGGTTGGGTGTTTTTGTGGGAGGGTCAGGGTATT